AAAGCCATATTTGTGTTAAAGCTTTAAAATGCAAGGTTTCCCAAATAATTAGATGCCTTATTAAACCCTTATTAAAAAACAGCACCCAGACAATTTTTCAAGGGGGTACCTCATGAGTGTCTCAGTTGCTCAATAATATAATTGTCTGGATGGTACTCTATTGTGAGCACCAACTTTTTGGAGTGAAAAAAAAAACAAAACCCTTTCTCCACCTTTCTTTGGGTAAAGCTGGTCCTTTTACTTTAGAAAGCCATATTTGTGTTAAAGCTTTAAAATGCAAGGTTTTCCAAATAATTAGATGCCTTATTAAACCCTTATTAAAAAACAACACCCAAACAATTTTTCAAGGGGGTACCTCATGAGTGGCTCAGTTACTCAATAATATAATTGTTTGGATGGTACTCTATTGTGAGCACCAACTTTTGGGAGTGAAAAAAACAAAAACCCTTTCTCCACCTTTCTTTGGGTAAAGCTGGTCCTTTCACTTTAGAAAGCCATATTTGTGTTTAAAGTTTAAAATGCAAGGTTTCCCAAATAATTAGATGCCTTATTAAACCCTTATTAAAAAACAGCACCCAGACAATTTTTCAAGGGGGTACCTCATGAGTGGCCCAGTTACTCAATAACATAATTGTCTGGATGGTACTCTATTGTGAGCAGCAACTTTTGGGAGTGAAAAAAAAGCAAAACCCTTTCTCCACCTTTCTTTGGGTAAAGCTGGCCCCTTTACTGTAGAAAGCCATAGTTGTGTTAAAACTTTAAAATGCAAGGTTTTTCCAAATAATTAGATGCCTTATTAAACCCTTATTTAAAAACAGCATCCAGACAATTTTTCAAAGGGGTACCTCATGAGTGGCTCGGTTACTGAATAATATAATTGTTTGGATGGTACTCTATTGTGAGCACCAACTTTTTGGAGTGAAAAAAGAAACAAAACCATTTCTCCACCTTTCTTTGGGTAAAGCTGGTCCTTTCACTTTAGAAAGCCATATTTGTGTTAAAGCTTTTAAAATGCGAGGTTTCCCAAGTAATTAGATGCCTTATTAAACCCTTATTAAAAAAACAGCATCCAAACAATTTTTAAAGGGGGTACCTAATGAGTGGCTCAGTTACTCAATAATATAATTGTTTGGATGGTACTCTATTGTGAGCACCAACTTTTGGGAGTGAAAAAAAAGCAAAACCCTTTCTCCACCTTTCTTTGGGTAAAGCTGGTCCCTTTACTTTAGAAAGCCATATTTGTGGTAAAACTTTAAAATGCAAGGCTTTCCAAATAATTAGATGCCTTATTAAACCCTTATTAAAAAACAGCATCCAGACAATTTTTCAAAGGGGTACCTCATGAGTGGCTCAGTTACTGAATAATATAATTGTTTGGATGGTACTCTATTGTGAGCACCAACTTTTTGGAGTGAAAAAAAAACGAAACCCTTTCTCCACCTTTCTTTGGGTAAAGCTGGTCCTTTCACTTTAGAAAGCCATAGTTGTGATAAAACTTTAAAATGCAAGGTTTTTCCAAATAATTAGATGCCTTATTAAACCCTTATTAAAAAACAGCACTCAGACAATTTTTCAAGGGGGTACCTCATGAGTGGCTCAGTTACTCAATAATATAATTGTTTGGATGGTACTCTATTGTGAGCACCAACTTTTGGGAGTGAAAAAAAAATGAAAGTAAATTAAAAGTAAATTGAAATCAATTGAAAGTAAATTGAAAGTAAATTGAAATCAATTGAAAGTAAATTGAACGTAAATTAAAAATAAATTGAAATCAATTGAAAGTAAATTGAAAGTAAATTAAAAGTAAATTGAAATCAATTGAAATCAATTGAAATCAATTGAAATCAATTGAAAGTAAATTAAAAGTAAATTGAAATCAATTGAAAGTAAATTGAAATCCTTTCTTAAGTTGATTGACCAAAAAAATGTTGAGGGGGGGGGCGAAAAAAAGTACGAGTTATAGAGTATCCTCAAATTGTTTAGGGGGGGGGCCCTCACACTAATCAGAGGCACACATTATTGAGACACTATATTACAAGACAATATTGAAGATCTATTATAGGCAGACGAGAAGATTAGTATCAAGACAATGTTTCACAAGTACAAGACAATAGTTTACATCGTATCCTTCGTAAAGTTTTTCACACACAGAACCTTTTACTACACTACACACAGACGCTTTTGCACACAGAAGTTTTTACACACATAAGCTTTTACACACAGAACCTTTTACACACAGAGGCTTTTACACACAGACACTTTTACACACAGACGTTTTTACACACAGAGACTTTTACACACAAACGCTTTCACACACAGAGGCTTTTACACACAAACACTTTTACACACAGACGCTTTTACACACAGAAGCTTTTGCACACAGACACTTTTACACACAGACGCTTTTACACACAGACACTTTTACACACAAACACTTTTACACACAGACGCTTTTACACACAGACGCTTTTACACACAGACGCTTTTACACACAGAGACTTTTACACACAGAGACTTTTACACAAAGACACTTTTACACACAGAGGCTTTTACACACAGACACTTTTACACACAGACGTTTTTACACATAGAAGCTTTTACACACAAACACTTTTACACACAGAAGCTTTTACACACAGACACTTTTACACACACAGACGCTTTTACACACAGACACTTTTATACACACAGACGCTTTTACACACAGACGCTTTTACACACAGACACTTTTACACACAGAGGCTTTTATATACACACAAACACTTTCACACACAGAGACTTTTACACACAGAAGCTTTTACACACAGAGACTTTTACACACATACGTTTTTACACAAAGACACTTTTACACACAAACACTTTCACACACAGAAGCTTTTACATACAGAAGCGAAAGGGTTGCGACTAGATGCGTGAAATCGCAATTTTACCGCAGTTTTCGGCGATCGAACCTCATTTCGTGCGAAACGGTTGCGCCCGGACGCGAGAAATCGCAATTTTACCGCAGTTTTTGGCGATCAAACCTCATTTCGTGCGAAAAGGTTGCGCGGGACGACTTGAAATCGCAATTTTACTTCAGTTTTTAGCGATCGAACCTCATTTCGTGCGAAAATGTGCGAAAGGGTTGCGCCCGGACGCGAGAAATCGCAATTTTACCTCAGTTTTTGGCGATCGAACCTCGTTTCGTGTGAAAAAAATGCGACAGGACGCGAGAAATCACAATTTTACCGCAGTTTTTGGCGATCGAACCTCGTTTCGTGCGAAAGGGTTGCGTTTCGTGCCGTCTTGTTGGCACTGCCCCGCGCCTTCAAGAGAGAAAAAGAAAAGAAGCAGAGAGCAGGAGGACAAGAGAGCTGGAGGGCAAGAGAGCACGAGGGCAAGAGAGAATGTGAAGATAAGAGGATGCGAAGATGTGAAGATGAGATGATGTGAAGATGAGAAGATGTGAAGACGTGAAGATGTGAGGATGTGAGGATGTTCAGATGAGAAGATGTGAAGATGTGAGGATGTGAAGATGAGAAGATGTGAAGATGTGAGGATGTGAGGATGTTAAGATAAGAAGTTGTGAAGATGTGAGGGTGTGAGGATGAGAAGATGTGTGAAGATGTGAAGATGTGAGGATGTGATGAGGAAGTGAAGATGTAAAGATGAGACGATGAGAAGATGAGCAGATGTGAAGATGAGAGGTTGTGAATGAAGATGTGAAGATGAGAACATGAGAAGATGTGAGGAGGTTAAGATGAGAAGATGTGAAGATGTGAGAATGCCAAGATGAGAAGACGCAAAGATGTGAGGATGTGAGGATGTTGAGATAAGAAGTTGTGTGCAGATGTAAAGATGTGAGGATGTGAAGATGAGAAGATGTGAGGAAGAGAAGATGTGTGAGGATGTGAAGATGTGAGGATGTGAAGATGAGAAGATGTGAAGATGATAAGATGTGAAGATGTGAGGGTGTGAAAATGAGAAGATGTGAAGATGCGAGGATGTGAGGATGTGAAGATGTGAAGACGAGAAGATGAACAGATGTGAGGATGTTAAGATAAGAAGATGTGAAGTTGTGAGGATGTGAAGATGAGAAGATGTGAAGATGTGAGGATGTGAGGATGTTAAGATGAGAAGATGTGAAGATGTGAGGATGTGAAGATGAGAAGATGTGAAGATGTGAAGACGAGAAGATGAACAGATGTGAGGATGTTAAGATAAGAAGATGTGAAGTTGTGAGGATGTGAAGATGTGAAGATGTGAAGATGCGAGGATGTGAGGATGTTAAGATAAGAAGATGTGAAGATGTGAGGATGTGAAGATGAGAAGATGTGAAGATGTGAAGACGAGAAGATGAACAGATGTGAGGATGTTAAGATAAGAAGATGTGAAGTTGTGAGGATGTGAAGATGTGAAGATGTGAAGATGCGAGGATGTGAGGATGTTAAGATAAGAAGTTGTGAAGATGTGAGGATGTGAAGATGAGAAGATGTGAAGATGTGAGGATGTGAAGATGAAAAGATGTGAGGATGTTAAGATAAGAAGATGTGAAGTTGTGAGGATGTGAAGATGAGAAGATGTGAAGATGTGAGGATGTGAGGATGTTAAGATGAGAAGATGTGAAGATGTGAGGATGTGAAGATGAGAAGATGTGAAGATGCGAGGATGTGAGGATGTTAAGATAAGAAGTTGTGAAGATGTGAGGATGTGAGGATGAGAAGATGTGTGAAGATGTGAGGATGTGAAGATGAGAAGATGTGAAGATGAAAAGATGTGAGGATGAGAAGATGTGAGGATATGAAAATGTTTGACAGACCCCCACTATTAGAAGAACCCTTCGCTCAAACGCTCTCGGGAAAAACACATCTGGACCATCCGTTCACCTACAAAACCCAGGTTTCTCATGCTTTCCAGGCCATAAATCCTCAAAATTGTGATTCTCCAATTTTTTCATGCCAAACCTCCAAGTGTTGATATACTGTTTGTACATGTTGGTACATCCCCGTGCTTCATGTTTCCTAAGCACTGCCCTTGCCTCTGGACTCTCTGGGCTGCCTGGACTCTTGCCGCCCTGCCTGCAGAAATTGTTGAGCCAGCGGGAGGCCCAAACACAAAATCCATTGACTAACCCAACAAAATCACAAAATCCACAGAAACCACCGAAAAAATCCAGGTTCCCAAGAGTTGTTTATTTGAGATGGTTCCCTGGTCTTGTTTTTCAGTGGGTGAAACCAAAGCAAAACCCAAACTGCCCCAACTCGTCCAACATATCATCACCAACGTTGCAGTGGCCTCAAGCAGGTGAATATCCAATTGAGTCAACTGAGTATATAACCAACCCAATCTCTGCAATGATCTGTAAAAACGTAGAATTTCCATACTTGAAGTCAACAGCTACTTCAAATTCCCGAACCGAAATTCCATCCATTTCCAAGCCAAACTGCATAATCAAGTTTGGTTGTGAATTTGATGATTTTTCCAAAGTTTCATCCACTCATTCCTCGTTTCGCTTTCGGCACTGAGGATGCACATCCTCCCGTTGACCAGTGTTCTTGTAGATATGTAGTGATCCCCACAAATATGGAAACAAATTATCACTGTTTAGTGGGATTTTACTTTTCTGTCCTGGGGGGTTGCTATATGTACCCAACAGAAATCCAGAATTATACCCAACGGAAATCAATTACTCTCTGGTCAACGAACATAGCTATGAAAAATGCACCATTTATAGCTATATTTCTGACTTTTTACCCATTCAAAATTGTGTTTTTTCCAGTTCGCCCTTATGTTAAATTGTCAAAGGATATTCCGCCCTCATGTGGACGTTTCACCACATAGAACTTGTTTTTTTCTCACCATCCGCCTCGGGTCCGGCGTTTGAAGGCCGCCTACGTGCAGTGACCACGGAGGTCGTTGAGAGAATGGTCCAATATAACTAGTGGGATATGATTTAATCTTAAAAATAGTCAATTATAATTCAGGGTATTTGGTGGTTATACCGGGGATGTAATCTGTGTATATATAATTAAGTATAATTATACTAGCTTGGGTTTCGAGACTTGGTTCCCAGCCATGGGGGGGAATCATGGGAAAACTTAAGTGCACAACAAGACTTGGGATTCATAGCTATGAAGAAACGGAACATGGTGGACTTAGAACATGATTTTCGAGATGTTTCAGACGATTTCTTCAATTGCTGGGGTGTATCTAGCCAAACCTTCAATTTCTACTAGCCCGCGGTGAACAAAAACATGACTCTGGGTGAAGTAGTTATGAAACGAGTGCTGTTCAAGGTTGAGCTCCGCCAAAAAGGATGGCCTATATAAGTCCTAAGTGCTTAATACCAGCAATGATCAACATCCGCAGAGAATGCTAGTTGCGTTCAAAACCCTCTGTCGTTTCATTCTACTGGTTGGTTAATAGGGATTCCTCCAATGGATTATGATAATCCGTATTGATTATTAGAATTCCCGAACTATATCAAAACATTATATGTATTAAATATCAGTGATATCTGCTTATATCATCTTATATCCCCATATTTTCAAGGTGCAACTTCTATAAGATATGATTATAATACTCAACCGACAAGGGGAACGCTGCACCTTGCATGAAGGAGTTCCGCTTTTCAGCACCCACCAGCAAATTCACCTCGCTCGGCGTGAACAAGTCTTTGAGGTGCTAATTTTTGGGGAAGTCAAAGTGGTTCATACCGACTACTATACGATATCTTTTAAAAATAATATGCATAGATATATGCATATATGTAAATGTGTGTGTATGTGCATATGTATATATATATGGTTATATATGTAACTAATATATATTATATATGTATGTATACATATATATATATAGAGAGAGAGATGGAATTGATGATGCAGGATGCCCTTTTTTATAAACACAACATGATCCTTGTCCATCCTTGTCCATTCTGTGGCTAGTGGCTGGTGGGAAAAAAACAACCCGAAACCCAGTCCCTGGAGATCATGCACCAAACCGTTACAGTGGTGAGACCTCTGACAGTTGCCTCCTTATATCAATGAGCAAATGATTGTTCCAAAATAAAATCTCAACATTTGCAAACCCAAAATCATCATCGTAACGAATGATTGAAGCATAAATCGGATAACTACCTATATAGAATTACCACACAGTACCCACATACAGCAAGTTCAGAACCCCAGCTACCAATAGTAAACCCTGCCGGTACCCCGCCCCGACCTGGGAACTGGCATGCTGCAGCTTATCCGAAGGCCGCGACGTGGATTTCCGCACAGTGGATGGGCGTCTCGGCGAAATGCGATGAGCCCCAAATGGGATCGGATTGGAATGGGTGCTCGTAGGAGTTGGGAACCCGTTGTGGCTGTTCAATATCCATGGCCCTGGCATCCAAACTTCAACCTGGAATCCAAGACTGGCAAGATTTTGCGTCACGTGCAGGGCATCCCAAATTTGACCCCACAACAGCCAACAGTTGATCGATTTCACCATCACTTACACAGATGTTACCATGATTTTCCTGGACGTTTGGATCGTAAATTCTCGGTTGAGTTGTAAAGACATATCTAAACCCACCTTTCATAATTATATATAACATATGCGTTATATAACTACAGAATGAATGATATAAGCCGCTCAATGTGGGCCGGGTTGCGCTCGCAACACCATACTAGGTGACACTGATGAAATCTGTGTAAATAAACAGGCAAAGCCACCGCCGATAAATGTTCGTTGTGCAATCATTATATCCCATATGCTGCGCGCATGGTGTCTCTCGCTAGATTCGGGTCATGTTTGGTGCATTTTCTGGGGATAGTTGGACTAGTAATTATTCATATCGGCATATTTAGCTTAGCTATAGTAAACATAAACCATATAAACATATCTGGTTGGTGGTTGACCTACCCCTCTGAAAAATATGAGTTCGTGAGTTGGGATCATTATTCCCAGTATGATGGGAAAGTCATAAAAACATATAAAAGCCATGTTCCAAACCACCAACCAGTTATACAGAGTAGGTATAGCATGGTATAGCCAGACACATGGCGTACGGTCAGACCGTGGCCCGCCCCACCTGAGACCCTCGGGACTTGAAGAACGGGAGCTTGGGCGCAGTAAACGGCCTGCGATCTCGAGACCTGGGTGACCTGCGACCACCTTGTGGGATACCTCGGGAACTGTCATGTGTTTATTCGCGGAAGGTATACGTAATGTCGTAATGGTAGTTTTATGATGTTTTATGTGGGTGAAACAATGCCATGTTTACCACCTATGACTGGGAATGGTAAACATACCAACTATAAACATGGAGATGACTGGGGGATGGTTTATGACATTGTTATACCCAAATTAAAGCAAATATCAAACACCAATGTTTTGATGGTTTATACCGGCCCATAAAAACCCAACAAACCAGCGCCACGCCTGTATCGGCTTTGCCCTTGGGTTTGAGCGCTAGGCTCCCCTTCAAACCACCTTGAAGCAATGGGTTCAGCTGGGACCCAGCCCGAAATCTTCAATCATGGTCCAATGGTGGGGTGAAAATGGTGGACCCCAAATTTATCCCTGAAGCAAATTGATTAAACATATGACATCACATATGACATGACTTAGCAGCTTAGCATGTACAGGTTCGAAACGGGTTTGGTTTTGCATCAAATCCAGCCGTCACAGCAAGAAATCAGGTGACCTCATCTGGGGAAGAAACTGGGACCATTTTCACTGATGGCTGCCTTCAACCCTCAGAGCCTCAGAGTGATCTTGGCTACCGAAACAGGACCATCTTCCCGTTTCAAAATTTAAAAAATATCTTGAACCTTTTATCATCATCAAAATGGACATATAGGGTTGCATAGATATACTAGGATACGTCGCCTCATACCATCATGTCCCAATTGCCTCCCATTACAAACCATACACTCACCAATAACCACCCAGTTTTTGGTGAATTTCATCAAGCAATAGCCACAATTATTCATTAAACATATATATATATAATTATAAATACATATATATTTTAATATTTATATACATAATTATATTATATATATACACCCCTCCCTCTCTCCCAGTTCTGTCCCACTTATATCCCATTTATGACCCAGTTCTGGGTGTTCCCATACGAATGGGGACTCACCAAGTCCATGACGACTTGTGTGGGGGTAGCCCCATGCCTTAGGAAACCATTCCCACAGTCATGGGTGGGTGGTAAACATGGCATTGGTTTACCCATTATAACATCTATAAAAATCTACAAACATCTATAAACAACTATCAGCGTCTATAAGCAACTATAAAAAAAAACTATAAACATCTAAAAAACTAAAAACATCTATAAACAACTGTAAACATTCATAAACACCTATGAACATCTATAAACACCTATAAACATCGATAAACATCGATAAACATCTACAAACATCGATAAACATCTATAGACATCTAAAAGCATCTTTAAACACCTATAAAGATCTATAAACCACTCAAAACATCTAAAACCACCTATGAACAACTATAAACAACTATAAACACCTATAAACGACTATAAACATCAGTAAACTAAACAACTATAAACATCTATAAACAACTACAAAAATTTAAAAACCTCCGAAAAACTTCTACAAACAACTTTAAACATCTACAAACAGTTATCAACAACTAAGAACATGTATAAACAATGGTTAACATCTAAAAACATCTATAAACAACTATGAACATTTATAAACAACGAAAAACATGTATAAACAACTAAAAAATGTATAAACAATGATTAACATCTATAAACAACTAGGAACATCTATAAGCAACGGAAAACATCTACAAACAACTTTAAGCATGTATAAAACAAATATAAACATCAAAAAACAACTATAAACAACTAAAAACAACAATAAACAACTATAAAACAACTATAAGCATGTATAAACAACTATAAATATCTGAAAACATCTAAGCACAACTAGAACAACTACAAATATTTATAAAGGACTATAAACAGCTATGAACATGTATAAACAGTTATAAACATCTAAAAACATCTAAAAGCACCTATGAACAACTATAAACATTTAGCAGCAATTATAAACATCTAAAAACATCTATAAACAACTTTTCAAAAAACTACAAACTACTATAAACATTTATCAACAACTATAAACAATTACAAACATCTATACACAACTGTAAACAACTAAAACCATGTATAAAACAACTAAAAACAACTATAAACATTTATATATACGCAAAAAGAATCAACTCTAAACAACTATAAGCATTTTAAAACAACTATAAAAAATACTTTACTTCGAGTGATCCCCACCCTGGCATTTCAAGTCATATATTCTGACATTTTTTTTGACATTTACCTAACATTCTATCTGACATCTATTCTGATATTCTATCTGGCATATCTTCCAGCATTTTATCTGGTATATATTTTGGCTTTCTATCTGGCATATATTCTGGCATTCTATGTGGCATTCTTTCTCACATATATTTTGACATTCTATGTGGCATTCTATGTGGCATTCTATGTGGCATATATTCTGGCAATCTATCTGGCATATATTCTGGCAGTCTTTCTGGCATATATTCTGGCATTCCATCTGGCCGCTGAGGTCCAGGGGTGCCCACTGAGCTCGGAAGGTCCCAGGTTGAGGTCCAGCGGTGCCCACTGGGCTCGGAAGGTCCGTGGTTGAGGTCCAGCGGTGCCCACTGCGCTCAGAACCTTGCGGTTGAGGTCCAGCCGTGCCCACTCAGATCGGAAGCCGGCAGTTGAGGTCCAGCAGTGCCCACTGCGTGCGGAAGTTGGCGAAGAGATTCGCGAAGAGTTGGCAAGGCGGAAGTTGAGGCAGAGGTGGTGGAGGAGGAGGACGAGGAGGAGGTGGAGGAGAAGGAGGAGGAGGAGGAGGAGCCGGAACAGCTGTGATAAAATCTAACAACCCTCACCTGGCAGGTGGGGAAATAAACATTAAAAAAAACAACTAAAAACAACTATAAACATCTAAAAACAACTATAAGCAACTGAAAAACATTTATAAGCAGTTACAAACGTCTATAAATCCATATTATTTCCATCTGCCCCGTTGGCCCCTCCCAAAGGCGCACCAAAGGTCGTGGTAATCGGACGGTTCGGCACATCGCCCAAGGACCAGGTCTCGGCCACCAAGGACGTCGGCTGGGACGCTGTGCCTGGCCGACGTTCACCGACGGTGACATCACCAGAAGTTTTTGTTAATATCAATGGTTATAAACACCATATTAATATGGGAATATCTATGGTTAATGGTGATTAATAGTGATTAATATGGGAATATCTATGGCTTATGGTTATAAGTTATAAACACCATATTTCTACCTGGGTAGGTATATAGGTGTAAACAACCCCACCAGGGTAGTCTTACGGATTATATGTTAATCTCCATTAATGGTTAATATCAATGGTTATTTTCGGTTAAGATTTTCCCTTCAACCAATCCATTGATGATAACGGTGGTTTTGACATGAATACCATTATATAATGGTTAACAACGAGTTACAAATGGTAAATAAGCACCGGTGTTCTGAAATAACCATCGTTTTCAATGGTTAACAACGGTATTCACCATGCCATGAAACACAACATTGGATAACCACCAATTACAAAACCAATTAAATCAAATAACAGAATAAACAATAATCATTAATTAACCGTTATTAACCAATAGTTAATCATTGATTAACAAATTTAGTCATTAATTAGGCACTATCAAACATTATTCACTATAGATTCGCCATCACTAGGCATTCTTAACCGTTCCTTCTTCTTCGTGGTGCAGTTGAGGCTACCCATCGACATATCATATGAATATGCATTATATCGTTAATACAGTACGTACATGTCAAGCAAGGGGGAAAGCCAATTATCTACATTTATGCAAATAAATACATTTCTATGCATACATATTATATATATATATATTAGAAACCCCGCCTGGGGAACAACTGGAATCTTCCTAGATTCAAACACCACGCCCGCTTGCATTAGTTTCTCGCCTGAGTTGAGCAAGTTGGCTTCGATACATGCCACAAGGTGAAATGGGACCTGGAAGAGAGGCGCTGCTTTCACACTCCTCTTTCTCTCCTAGAAAAAGGTTTTGCTCAGAACTTCGTCTGAGTTATATTCTGAAAGTAAAAATTGCAGCATTGGAGCTCTCTCACTGACTCAGGTATCCCATAAAGAAGCTCAAAAGCACATGCCAAGGATATAATCAATCTCGAAAGCGACGCGTGCCAGGAAAGACAACCCCTTCGGGCTCTGACACCAGACCAGCGGCAATCAAATAGTTGCGAAGGTCCACACACTTGGCACCCTTGCTCTCACCCTGCTCGAAGACCCAGTCGCAATAGTCACGGTACTTCGGCAAAGTGCCAATCTGATAATAGGTCACATCGTCAGCCTTCACCTTGGGAAGGGTGCACACAGTCTTCCCCCACTTTTCCAGACTGTTCACCATCGGAGGCAAGGAGATCTGAGGAGCCATAGGCTTCTGGGATGACTTGTCCCCTTTCTTGGCACAACCACCCACCTCGCTGATCAAATCAAAGGCAGAATCTTCCTCCTCCGACAAATTCTCACTGGGCTCCACGGCGGCATGCACACGCTTGCTGCCATCTGTCATAGAACCACCGGAGATGGCCGGAGGCTGAACAAACGAGGATAGGCTCTGACCGTGAGCTTCCATGCGGGCAAGGATCTTTTTGACCACTTCAATTTCATCCTGGGACACGGGCAAAGAGTATGTGGACATGGCTGGACCTAATTGATTCCACGAGAGATCACTTGGCAGGGACGGAAAACTAGAGCTCTTATCACCTTGACTTCACACTGGCATGCGAAAAACTGTACAATCACTTGACTCAAGCAGACATGTTGGTACTTATGACTATTCGGATGCAGAGGCACGATGCAAAAAGGCAAGCACGACTGATCTCTTTCCTACTGATCCCATTTGAGATAATAGGCAACCCATTGAGAAGAACAGTTTCCTACTCGCTCAGTATCGGCCAAATTAGAAAACATGGCTCAGCCTCTTCACTCTTCTCAGACGTGCAAACGGACTGACGTTGCTGTTCATCATGCTGTTGTTTACGGCTCTTTCCCAACTGCTGCCTACGGTGACGCTCCTCTTTCTTTCGATCTAAGACCAACTGTTCATCAGCTAGTTGATACTTACCATTTCTCAGCACTGAGCGCAGCAAGTCATGCGGCTCTCCTTTGTCCTTGGTCAGGCCGTCAGCGACCATGCGATCTGTCGGTACCCATCTGGGTTGCAAACGAGTTCGCTGTATGCATTGTCGAATCACAGCTATATCGATGGCTACCCTCTTGTCGTCTAAAGTGCCTCCAGATCCTAAGGTAACCAAATGGTCGTAGAGAGATCGGCAATCGCTCATTCCTATTGGCTGTCTACGGCTAAGGACCTCGTCTACTTCAGATAATAAGAAGGGACCATCCAAGGCTTCAGCTAAAATCAACATGCACCATTCTGCTATGCCTGACGCGCTGGCAAAACATTGGGCTTCCCCCCCGAGTGTGGAGGACACCACTCTGGGAAGACGGTAGGATTTCCAACCAACAAAGCTCAGAGGACAGTCATGACCTTGGCTGAATTTTTGGCTGGTAAGACCTACAATCCAGCCTCCCTGAGTTCGGTGATCCACGGCGTTGGCAAAGGCTGCATCCGACCAGAAACACACGGTGAGTTCACTAGGAGGTATGTAAGGTACCTTGATAGTCATATCACTATGTTGTCTAGCCCTTCGTACTGCTTGATTTGCTTGGAGGAGATTCTCAACTGTGGGATTGGGAAAACACTGTTGAGACATGGAGGTTTGAACACAAAGGTCGGGTCGTGATTGGCCTGACAGCCACCCCAAGGCCCCATTCACTGCCCGGAGGGCGGAAATCTCACGATCGTTGGCTGGCTTCCAGTGTTCTCGAGCGCGTTCCTTAGAGAGTTTGATGGGTTGAATATTGAGAGCATAGTCTTTCTGTTGATATTCAATCTCCATGGTGGTGGGGTCCTGAGTGTATTCTACCCCCAGAAACTCTCCATGGCCTGATCTCCATTTTCGGAAGGGAAACCTGGCCTTCAGCTCAGCAATCGCACGATCGTAAGTGCTGCCACTGCCACCCGTCAGAGTGTCATCCACGTGTGCTCCCAAAACCCCTTCCAGAGTGCCTTCCGCATTGTAACAGTAGTAAACGCAGCTGTCAAAACGAGATTGGGAAAAACCACATTTCTGTGCCACTTGATTGAACTCAACGAACCAGTTGTGAGGGGCATCGTTGGCACCGTACACATTTCCTCGAATTCTCACCAGACTTCCCGGAGCCACACCTGGTACTCCCCCTGGGGGTAGCTCAGCAAAAACAGGATTCTGCTCCAGCTGTTCGCTAACATCAGCTTCCAGAAAAGCCCCTTTTATATCCCCAAGATTCATAGTCCACTTGTGGCTGACAATCAACTGTAGGAGGACGTTGCGTCCCAGCTGAGACAGGGTCGGCGAGTGACACTTGCCAGACAGCACCTTCTTCACTAGGTCTGGGTCATGGTGCCCACGCAGACACCATCGTGACTTCATGCGAGTCTGGCCATCTTCCACCTTCTTGGTGATGACAAACCTGCTGGACATGATCCGGTTGGGTTGCCTTGTTCTGATTTCATCAGCTTGTTTGGGATTTATCACCTCAATTACCCCTTTTTCATGCAACAAGGTGGACCACTCAACAACCTTAGATTCATCGATTAGTTCTTGAACATCACTGGGATTGTTTGAGTGATGAAGCTCAGTCTGCAGCTTCTTTTTGAGGAACCCTGCTAGAAAAACCTCAACACACTCTACAGTCTTTGCCAGAGCCAACATGCAGTCACCGGAGAACTTGCCGTGCTTGGGTGCTGGCTCGGAGCTTGGCTCTCGACTGGCAGCTCGTTTCTCTCGGGACAGTTCCAAGGAGGCTTCTTGAAAGTCAGATTGCACCATTTCAGGGGGTCTATAGAGAACCTCAGGTTTCTTAGTGCTATGCCTAAATCTTATGGGACCATAATGAGGCTTCACCTGAGATGAGCTACTGCTACTGCTGTGGAACGGTTCAGCTCGGGTGGACATCTGGGGGACTACATCAGGAATAGGAACACTTGAACTCTCGGGAGAGTTGGACTCCATGATCTCTGGTGCACCAGGAGCGCCAGCAGAGAGCGCTGCAGGTTCCAGGGCTTCTGCCTGGGACGGCACGGTCGCAGCGGAAATGTCTACCGCATTGGAGGACGCTTCAGGACCCTGTTGGAGCTGTTCTGGCATCTCTGGAAGTTCTTGCTTGGACAAATCCACATACTGACTGGTCCTAAGATTACCATCTTCTCCTACCATGGCAGCTATTCCTAACAACTCCCTACCATCGGCTTGTGCCACTGCTCTCTCATCCAAAGTTGCATGACGTAAGTGTTCAGGAGAAACTTTGAACATGTTTCTGCGATGGTAGATTAGTAAGTTGCGACCTACTTTGCCCATGACAATTGCCGTACCATACCACCTGCCACCTACAATACGGACTCCTCTCTGGTACTTCTGAGTGCGCCAGTAGCAGACAAAATCTCCAGGCAAAAATTCTCGCTCGGCTCGCGGTCGAGCATTGAGTGCTGTACGCAGGGTCTGCTCGTCCTGGGCTTGTACCAGGGACACTCGTGCAGCTGTTCTTACAGCTTGAGACTTTGCAAAACTGGAATCCTGGAGGGCCACTGTACCAGAAACTGCATCCGGGTTTTCTTGGAGAACATCAAAAGGAACACGTGGGTTACGACCAAAAACATGTTGATAGGGGGAGAGACCCTGCTGGTTCAACATTTCATTCTTGGCATTCATAGTTTGCACTACACATTGTTCCCAGGATTCTTTGTCACCCGGTTGGCATTGATCCAGCACCTTTTCAAACACCACCTCAAACAGATGTCCGTGTTTCTCAACTTTCCCCAATTGGTTATGTGCTTCGGCTGCTATAGTAAGAACTCGGATACCGGCATTCTCCAAGCTTGACACCAAAAGTTCTGATTGATTGGTTCGTGCTGGGTCCATCAAAAGTTCAACTGGTGGTCCAGCCCACTTCATCCAGTGATTCATGAAGAGCTGACGCAAGACCTCTCCGGTTTCTTGTTGGTGAAAAGGAACCATGATCTGCATGCTTGTTGCCCAGTCAACTATATTGAGACACTTGACCTTTTGGTTGACAGCCCAACCCGGAAGAATCTTCACATCAATGCCTACTCTGTGATTGAAATCGACCACAGAGTGTGCCGACGCAGGGAGGCAAGGTGTTGGCCTCTGTCGCTGGGTACAGATCTCGCACGTGAACAGGCGAGCTGCTTCCAAAGCCTGAGAAGTGGCTCCAGCATTTCGGAGAACCCTGATCAAGTCAGCACTTTGGGGATGACCCAGATTGTTGTGTAACTTTTTGATGATTTGTTTGAGGTTCTCAGGAGACCCTTCTTCCTGGGCGCAACATTCATGCACTACTTGAATCAACTCACTGGGTGTCGCAGGATCCTGCACGGATGCAAAGGCACACAGGGAAGGTGATGGACAAACACTACTTAGCCAAGTGTGAACAAACTCTGAAGTGTAAACAGCAGCTTTGGCGCTAATGTTCTGACCATCCTTACACCTACCAGCAATGACCCTATGCTGTGCGTGTCCTGGGCAACACTTGGCGAGCTCTACCATATCATCATGGGACACAGCCAAACCCGTGGGTTTCAACACTGGGATCCCTGTGTCGGGGCACTTCAAGCCATAGGCACACATGGACGCCTTGCACAGGTGCATTTGCTTCAGGAGCTTCTTCATCGGTGCAAACTCCCAAAGTCCGGAACTCCACGGGTGTTCGATGAGAACCCTTCCTCCACGTTTGATTTGTCTTTTGGCTTCATCCACGCAAAACTGAGCTTGTTTTTCCGCAACTCTTTTGTTGTGAATCTGTTCCCACAAAGGCAACTTTGTCTGGTTGAGTCTATACCAGCCCCCCCAATGTTTGCATTCTGGACATAACACCAGGAGCTCAGGACGCTTCTTTTCCAAGACGCCAGAGACCTGCTGTTGGACCTTCTTGTCAAGGAGGTCCCATCCCTGCTTGATGTCGAAGGAGAGACCTTCGGCTCCACGTTCCTGAGCGGCCAGAGCAAAACGGGGCGGAGAGAAGAGCTCTGCGACAACACACTTTGATTGCCCCTTTGTCCATGCTGCATGTCGTGACATCACACAGCGTTGTTCTCGGCGTGTAAGAGTTCTAGAATCACCTGACAATACCTCAAACCCAGAACAACATGAGCAATCATCACCATGGGGAACTAGATGTGTGTTCATGTCTACATACTCAGTCACATTCGTGGATTTCGGAACAATGGCATTCTCAGTAAGCTTGTCATCGGAAATCACCATAGTTTCATGAGCAGGAAGGGAAGGAAAATCCATGACATCGATCATATACTGGCCCGCACTGTTGATCTTGAGAGGCTGTGACGGTCCACCCTCTAGAGAAAGAGAGCTGTCGCTGAAGTTCAGAGAGGCTCCCAAACTTTTCATGGTTCCCCTGCTGAGCAACAGAGGAGCAGGGCCTCGAATGATCGCTGCTTCAACCCGACCCGCCTTGCCATTGATCCCGATGGGGAGCTCTACCACAAATTCAGTAAGCTCCTCCTTGTTGTTGCCAAAAGCAAAAAGGTTCTCCTGGCGACGCATCACAGGCTGCGTCAGA